CAGCTGAAAGTGCGAGGTCCGCATTCACCCTCCCTGCCGGCCGGGAGTGCACCGAGCCGGGGGAGGGCCCGGGTGCCCGGATGTCGATCAAAATGAGCGTGATCCAGCCCTGCGCTGGGCAGCCCGGGCTCGGGAGGCTGGGGCTCGGGGAGCGGGGGGCTCAGTGAGCTTTCGGAGGGGCACGTTCACGGGGACCGGGACACGGGCAGGAAGGCAGCCGGCAAATGGAAGAGAAGATTTTGATAGGGGGGTAGAGCCTGGACAGCTGGGGAGAGAGCTCATGGATAGAGGACGCTTGGCAGCATAAGCTCCACGATGGCTGCCCAGTCGAGGTACGGCATTAAATAACTTTTATCGCCGTTGGTGCATTTCACTGAGGGCTTGTCATAGTCCGGTGGTGGTAATGATGCCCTCGCTCCTTTTCAGGCACAGTTTGCTATTGATTTTTGCACTGTGTCTCGCAGAAATGTGTCTGGAGACGCGTCCTGGATAGATTTCGTTCATGTATTTTGTTCACCGAAGTGTCCACTACCTCCTCTCGGCATAAACTTTCTTTTAACAGGAAAAACGAAGTCTTAATTGCTCCCTGTGAAATCTCTCACTATCCAACAAGTTAATAGCTCTTTGAAACTGATTTTCTTCTCCCTTGCGGACTTGTCTATATTTGTTTGGGTTTTTTTTCCCCCCTGTAGCCAGCCTAGTGTAAACAGGCTTCTGTGACTGCTTATAGCAATATTTTAAAAGGTAAATGGTTTATATTCGGTTGGATTGGAGAGCTGGCTGTATAAAATGGAAGCAGGTTGTGTCTGCTTGTGTGCAAATCTGCTGGATAGGTGGGAGGGTAGAAAATGGTTGTAGAGAAGAGGATGAAAAAGAATGATCTAATATAGTTGCTGTCAGGAAGCAAAATTCAATTTTGCTTCAATTAAATACTTTTCAAGTGACTGTGTTTTTAAAGAAACAACTTCTTGCCTGCTCTCGGAGTGGGGGGGCATGCTGTCTAAAGTGAATTTCACACTCAGCATGGGGGAGGCAGCTTTTCTTAAGTCATAGTATTTGATGAGGCAGTGCTATTTAAGGTATCTGTTAAATGCCTTTTAGCTTTTAGGATGCTTTAATGGGCATTTCAGAAATGCCTAAGAGAGAAACTCCTCTTTTTGCTCTTTAGTCCCACACTAAACAGCTGCCCTGCTCCCCTTTCCTCCAGGCAGGAAAAGAAAAAAAAAAATTAGAAATGGTGGCATATCCTACACAGAAGTTCAGCACTCGCAGTGTATTTTCACAGTGGTGCTTTTCTTCAGGTTTGAAGCCAAGAGCTGGCTTTAAATTACAAACTGCAAAATGACAGAGCCTTGAGGTTTGGGGAGGAAGGACGGGAAGATTGATTGCTTCGTTAACAGCTGAACTCTTCTCTAGCTCCGACTGCCTGCTCTCTCTGCGTGTGGGGAGACTGGGAGTACTTAACAAAGAGGCAAAGGTTTAATTTTTCAGCATCTTTTTTTTCCTTTGTATGGTCACTTATTCACAAGATTTACTGGCCTGCGTTATCAGCACGTTGCTTTAATAGGCCCTCATGCTAAGAGAGGATACAGCATAAATCTGAGTGCTGCTGGCTGGCCTTGAAGCTTGGCTTGGCTCCAAGGCCAGGGACACGCTTGATGTCTCAGAGGTCACACAGCCATTTTCTTGGGTGGCAGGAGGGCACATGGGAGCTGTGTCCCAGCAGTAGCCCCCAGCCTCAGCAAACTGGCTGAGAGAAAGGGCAAGGCTGGCACTGGGGTCAGCGAACCACATCCCTAACCTGTAAGGTGGATGGCACAAAGAATAAAGTTTTATATGTTGAGTGGTTCAAACTGAAAGTGAGGAAAATGGACCAAAAGCAGGGTCCATGGGGCTGAGTACTGCGGGGTGGGTGAAAGGATTGTGCCCCACACCTACCACTTGAGACGGGCATGGGGACAAGCTGTGCACCTGCCATTCTGCACCTTCCCTTCTCCTCCATCGTGTGTGTTGGCTTTTGCTTTTGTCAGGGTGCTGTGAGGCACCCAAGCTTTAAAACTGCGTCAGAGTATTTCAGCATAGTGAGTAAGAAGCTAACCTCTGTATGCTTGAAGATCAGAGTTAAAGTCTCTGATTATTGCTCATTTTAAGACATTTAAAAGAGAGTAGGAGTGAATAATGAGCAGCAGAAATGAATCTCTTGCAGGAGAGTGGTTACATTAGCCAGAAAGCCTGGTGCTTCTGGTATTTCTGTTTTGGTGGCACAGGTCAGCAGGGGTATCCATCTCAGTCTAAGAGATTTGTGCTTTGTGGGTGCGTAGGAGCTTTTATTCAGCAGTGAAGGATGAATTTATATTCACAATAAATAATTGGAGTTATACTGCATGGGACTGAGAGGCTACTTGTCTCCAGAGTTCATTTGCCAAAACATGTCAGAGGGTTTGCTCTGCTAGGTAGCTGACAAAAGATGTGGGTGAGCTTTCTATGTTCATTTCTCCTTTGTGAAAGATACAAACAAATTCTACAGGCTCAGTAAATTACTGATGAAGTGGTATGATACAGAGCACTGTAGCGTTTTGGGTATCACTCTGTATGAGGCCTTCGGGCACTCCTCCATCTGCTTGGGTTTGCTATTTCTCGCATGCTGTATGTTGCAGCTAGTGAAAGGGATGCGACATTGGGGATGATGCTTATTTGATAACAAGAAAATCCTGCATCCTTTCTTCAGCTTCAGTGCTGTCATCCTGGGCAGCTCACCTAGCATTTGGGTTTCACTGTTTTGAAGGGTGGAAGGGTAAGGAGAACAAGGTGATAAAACATGCCTGTTGCTGCTCTTCAGCATTTTAAAAACTGTAATAGTGATGACTGAGAAACTGATCTGCTAATGGATGCCATAACATTTTTTTAAAATAGTAAATCTTAAGAAATGATTACGTGGTGAGTTGGGTATGTTTTTGTTTCAGCTGTTTGAGAATGATCAGCTTCTACCAATGGTTGCTGTAAATAGCTTACATCTAGAGCCATTAGGTGGAGAAACTATCCTCCAGTTAGCGTTATTTTGTGTATAATGCAGATTTTCTTCTTTTTTTTTAAAGTTGCTGGCTGAGCCATAGGTTTGTAGCTGTAGCTTTCTATGCATTCGCTTCTGGAATGTGTGGATGATCTGATGCCTGTAGTGTCCCTGGGCAACAGGGCTCGTGTCAGGTTTTTGCGGTGTATTCAGGAATGTGTGAGCAGAAGTAGAATCAATCTGAATGAGGACAGGTTTACTTTCTTGTTAAATGTGGTGTGATATTCATCACGTGCCGTCCAGCTGCTCTGAGATACGTCAGGACCCCTAGGAGGTATGTGTGGCAGGCTGGCACCTGCGCTCACTACCAGCTACTACAGTGAGGCATGAGGACATGGCTCCTTAAGTGAGTGGCGGAGCCCATCTCTCTTCTGCTTCCTTCTTCGTTAAAATGTGTGCTCTACAATTGCAAGCTGAGGATCCTTAGATGAATAGCTGCTTTTTTGAAGATGTAGGCTGCTCAGGCTGGTTGGGGTTTTTTTAAATTATCTGTAGACCCTGTCAGTTACATGTATTTTATTTAAAATTGGTGCATAAATAAATACTTTGTTATGGATGCGAAGAATTTCCAATTGTCATATAACTTGCCTTTCGAAGTGGTCGTGATTAGTACGATTGCAGGTATGCAGAATGAATGCAATTTCCTAATCTTTGTACATTGGTGAATACAGTAGCACAGTGAGAGCAACATGAAATCTGAGCATTGTGCTGTCATCCCTGCTGGGCTCCCCTTAATCTTTCTCCTGAGTCAGCCCTGCAGGGAAGGGTAATGATGGACAGCAGTCTAGGAAGCCCTCTGTTTCCACCCCCTAAAGCCAAGCTAAACCCAGAAGAGTCTTGAAACGAGTCTGTACCACTCATTTCAGTAGAAAAAGAAGGTGGCGCTGTGCAGAAATAAAATGTGGCTATATCTGCATTTAAAACATGGTAAATGCAGCAACACAGTTTCCTCTAAAGGGAATAATGCTGAGGCTTTTCCCTGAGGAGAAGCTACGCTGAATGATGCAGCTTGATTTCGTTTCATGTTTCACAGCTTTCCAGGCCAGATCTAAAGATATGTTTCATAACTTGTTTGTTTTGTGGCTCCTGTTGATACAGGCCAATACCAGTATTGGTGATGCTGCATTCCAGTCAGCTGATGGAGATGAAGAAGGGCTGAAACAATGTCTTGTTGGAGTTTACCTGTCTATTGAAAGCTAAAACATCCTGTGAACCCCTGTCAGTTTTGCTTGTACACTGCTACTAGCCCTGCCTGTAGAAATACAACCCTGTTTTCTCCAGAACAAAATGCCTAGCTGATCCACGGCATGTTTTGCGGGCTGATGGGGATTTTTCAGTTCACAATTCCCTATTGCCTGGACTTTCTGAGCCTGGAGTCTGCTGCTTTGGGGCAGGCCTGGAGCTGAAGCTCCCCCACAGAGAAGAGATGCTCACAAAGCAGTGGATTTTTCAAGTAGGTTTGTTGGGTTTTGGTTTTGTGTGTTGTGGTGGGGGTTTTTTGTTTGGTTTTTTTTTCAGTGGGGGTTCCAAGTTGTAATAAGCCCTTGAAAACTTTGAAATACTGTTGTCGTGGTATAACTGAGGTGGTATAGAAGGGAATGTTTCCTTAGGTCACGTAATTTTCCTGGGTCGGAATCTGTATTGTAGAGAGAGGCATCTTCTCGCTGCTTTTTATGAGAAAATCATTTGCTAGTTCAACTGCAAGATGCAGCACAAATAGCAGGAAACAAGCCTTTAATGAACTGCATAAATTCTCCTCAGCGCTTTCCTTCTGAGTGTAGTCGTAGTGAATGACGGCATGAAGCTTTTAAATGCCTTTAAAATACAATAGAAAAGCTGTCTCAGTAAAGTACATAGGAATGCTACGAAGACATTGTTCTTCATGAGGTGGACTACAGCGAAGTGAGGAAGAGTTCTCCACTGAGCGCAGGGTATCTTCGTAAGGCCTGGCTCAGGCGCAGGGTGGTTGGGAGTGCAGAGGCTGGTTTACTGGCTTGCTTGCAAGCAACATGACAAAAGAGTTACTTTAACGTAGAGGTGCCTGAGCCTCAAAAAAATGGGAAAGTACTCATCCTGTTCAGGCTGAACACAGCATGGAGATTTTTTTTTTTCCCCTGTGGTATGTTACAGTGAAAAAGGTACTGGCTGTGTTATGTTTTGCAATTTTGGCTGCTGGAGTTCATCTGTGTCCATGATAAAAACGAGAAGACACTGGCTGGGGTGGAGCAACTGGCTGGGGCAGATACCGCTCCAAAATGCAGT